GGATCAATAATCCATTGTAGTGACCACATGGAACTCACAGGCTATACTCATGATTACGAGGAGTTATTAGGGCAGTTAGCAGGTTACTACAAGTCAGTATCACAAACCATTAAAGATATGGCTCTTTGGTTCACAGTGCTTCTTCTCAGCGAGGCAGGAAGTGCATCTTTCAGTCTGGGGCTCAACCTCCCAGGCACTTTGCCTCTGTTCTGAAGGAAATGCACTGCTGTTTCAGTCTCCGCTCTGCACCTCGGATTCCTTTACTTCTGGTCTTCTCTCTTGGTAGTCCTACAATTCTTCTACCTGCTTCTGAGATGGTGCTCGGTGCCATCGAGTCCGTTTCAACTCAGCGATCCTGTGTGTCACGGAGTGACACACTTCCCAGGCTTGTGCCATCTCAGTCGTTCTCATTTTGAGCCCGCTGTTGCAGCCACTGAGTCAATCCTTCTCGTCGAGGGCCTTCCTCTTTTTGCTGCCCCGCCACTTTCACCAACCGTGATTTTCTGGGATGGTTTGCTTATAGCCAGAGGAATGGCCAAACTGACCAACCCTCCTTAGCTAAGTGGCAATGAGGAGTCTCTTGGGAATTTTCCCTCCCCTTTTTCTCCTTAGTTCCCTGCTTCAGATCAGCATGCATGTTCCACAGTAATGATGGCAACAGTGACAGAGGCTACAAATGGATGCCTACAGGAGCCAAAACTCTAAGGTAGGAAAATTTTCCTCTCCAGTCAATGTAGCAGAGATTACAGAAGGTGAGTCCACCCTCCAGCCCAGTCCCCCCACCTTCTGCTCTTTATAAATGGATACCACACACTGTGTGCAGTTGTGGAAGTAGATGGTTTCTGACTCAGACCCAACACAATATAACCCACTGCCATTGAGTCAATTCCAATTCACATTAACCTGATAGAACTTAACTAGCTTAACAGAACTCTACCCATGTCCAAGACTTTCTGGGTGCCTACACAAATCCAAGTAAAACTGCAAAGGCTTTAAAAGTTCAATGACATTGGCACCATAGCTAACAGCAGGCAGACTGGAACTTGTGTTGGTGCCTAGTCAGGTAAATTGCTTGATCAAACAAAATATCAGCATTCTCCAGAGGATTTAAACAAGCCACTGACTTTTAGGTTGGCAAGGAAAACCGCTTCTTTGTTAGATAATACAACTGAATCTCTTAGGTGGAATAGCAACTACAGTTGCAAAAACACAAAACCAAGCCACTGGCATCGAGTCGGTGTGACTCAGTGACCCTATAGAGCTATGTAGAACAGCCCTCAAGGGCTTCCAGGTGAAGTGAAGCCAGCAGCTACTGGCTTAAGAACTCCACTCGTAATTCCCAGAGTTGGGACATGGAGGTGTACAATGTTGGGCCACTTTCACCAGCGCTTTTGTTTTAAAAAGTATCCCGACTCACCAGAAACAAGTGTGAGGACAACTTTTCACCTTTGGTCTATGTCAATCGATGTCACTTTCCAAACCTAATGGATGCTTGGCCAGGAGATTTAAAAGGTACTTTGTGTATTTATTTATCCAAGAGCAAAGAAGCACAAAACTCAAAACCCCTGTATACCTTATTTGCATGCTCCAACCCAAACATGTAGTGGGGGTTACGAAGGGTAAGGATAGAAGAGCCATAGAAAGTAATTTCACGTCGCCTGACCTAGAGGGTCGCTATCGCATTGGGTGACTCTACTGCACAAGACCGCTTTTCAGTTTTGAAAAGCAAGGATGTTACTTTGCAGACGTAAGAGGTGCCTGACTCAATCCATAAAAGTACCATGACTGTTACAATGACAAAACAAATCTGCCTCGGAAGAAGTATGGCCGGAATGCTCCTAGAGGGACGGTGCAGTGACTGCATCTTTACATACTTTGGACGTGTCATGAGAGACCAGTCGCTGAAGAAGGACATCATGCTTGGTAAAGTATGGGGCAGTGAAAGAGAGGAAGGTGCTCGATGAGATGGATTGACACCGTGGCTGCAAAATAGGCTCAAGTCCAGGAAGAACTGTGCAGCTGGTGCAAGAGCAGGCAGTGTTTTACTCTATTGTGCATAGGTTGCTATCAGTTGGAACCGTCTCCCTGGCACCTAACAACACACAACACCATGTTACTGTGATACGTTTTTTGGTGCCAACATGGCACCTATAAGAAGATATGGGTGGAGTTTAGCCTGTCAATCAGTTTGCAGCTTGATTACCTCATCTGGAGGTGCCACAGAGATAAATGGCTCACTGGAGGCAGGCCACTCTCTCTGCTTCACCTTCCTGCTGGCGAACCACTTGGAGACCCGCTGGAGACCTGATAGACCCCCCAGATGTGTCCACTGCCATTGGATCCACAAGACTTTTCACCCATCAGCCTGTGATTTTCCTGCATTCTGCATCATTGCATGTGGCTGCATGAATCTTAAGAGGGACCTATTAGTATCTGACTTAAGGACTTGATCTGGACTGGGCTGGGATGTTTGCTTGATTTGTAATTACTTCTTGATATAAAGTTCTCTCTTACACATATATAAAATGTAATAGTTTCCATTGTCATTAATAAAGGCTTAGAAACAAGTCCCAATTTTATTTCCACCCAATCCTGGTAACAACTAACAAACTTAGATCCTTGTACACTTGCCTATTCTAGTTAGTCATATCAACGAGACCACACTATTTGTGTATGACTAGTCCCTGTATGGCTGTAAGATGTGCAATCCCGTTGCAGTAAACAATTGGCAGCTTCAGGAGAAGGATATAAGCTTCGGGAGAAGGATATATCTGACCAGAGCACACAGGAGCAGATGACGGGGGAGGAGGAGAGACTGGAGCACATCCTGGCCCACCAGGCCTTGAGGA